GAAAACTCCAGCCACATTGGGGTCTTTGTTGCGCATTTTGCTTTTTATTGATTGGATGAATTCATTCTATCGAGACTCCCTTTTTATGTCGGCCAAAGTAACTGGGAACTGTCTTATGGTACTCGCGATCATGTTCTTGATTTCAAAATTTGTCCTTAGAGTAGCAATGATGGAGTCTTCAAAAACTTCTGTATTTTTTGGAATGAGTCGCGATAAACTGTCTGCATGGCAAATATTTTTCGTTGTTAGGAACTCTATCTTAAAATTATAGTTTAAGAGAATTGTTCCCCAACGAAGTAGTCTATTTGCAGTATAGACTGGCAGACCTTTTTAAGACCCAAAAATTGTAATCATAAGTTTATGATCTGTCTGCAGTATGAACCGTCTACCATGTAGATATCTGTGAAACTTTATCACAGCAAATATTAACCCGAGAGCCTCTTTCTCTATTTGGGAATATTGTTTCTCAGCTGGAAGTAAAGATCTTGATGCGTGAGCCACAGCTTTTCGCGAACCTTCTGGCAGTTTATGTAATATACAAGCGCCTATGCCGTACGAGCTTGCAACCCTTGCGACTATAATGTCGAGACTAGGGTCAAAATGTGTGAGGGAGAGGTCTGAAGTTAGAGTTTTCTTGATCTCCTCGAATGCGTCTTGGCATTCCGGGGTCTATGAGCATGGTTTGTCTTTTTTTTAAAAGTTGTTTGAGAGGCGCTCTCAAATTTTGCATGTTCTTAATGAACACTTGGTAAAAGTTAGCTAGTCCGAGGAAGCTTTGTAACGCTTGAACGTTATCTGGAGCCGGCATGTTTCTGATCGCCGACGACCATCTTTATTTATAATGTGACCTAAGTATTTAATCTCTGGTAAGAAAAAGTCACACTTTTCCTCCTTGACCTTAAATCCGTATTCTTGTATCTTTTCGAATAAGTTTATTATATGTTTCCGGTGCTCTGCCATAGTTTTACTGGTAACCAGTATATCATCCAAATAGGCGGTTGCGTAGTCAAGATCGCCCAACATGACGCAACCTTCACTCCAAAAGCCAGCCTGTTGTATTTGTACAAACCTCTATGGGTGTTTATGCAGAGCAATTTGGAACTTTCTTCTCCCACCTCTATCTGAAGGTATGCGTCCGAGAAGTCAATTTTAGAAAAAAAATTTCCACCATTGAGTATATTGAAAATTTCTTCAGGGCTTGGGAGAGGATAGTGGTGATCTTGCAAGGCATCATTTAACCCTATGGAAAAATCTGCGCATATTCGTATTTGATTGAACTTCTTTTTTACGTAGACCGTGGGTGCTGCCTACTCGCTGAAATCTGGTTTTGACAGAATACCTGCTTGTTCTAGACTATCTAACTCTTTGATTATTTGTTCTAGAGCAGCGAAAGGGACATTCCGTTTCTTTTTGAATATCGGTTGTGCACCGTCCTTCACCTTGAACTTAGCTTTCATTTTAGTACATTTCCCAAGGCCGCCAGAAAAAAACCTGGGGACATTGTTGTTTCAGTTCCTTTGTTAGATTACCAAATTGGACGTTGTACTTTGTATCTTGCAACAAAATGTACTCATTGGGCAATCACAAATATTGAATTTTTCTATCCAATCAGTTCCAAATAAATTGTCTGAAGTTTTTAATACATAGGCTTTGAGTTTTTGGTAACTCCATTTAGTGTTACTGAAAGTATTACTCGCCTAAAATGTTAATCTTTTCGCCAGTTACGGATTTTGCTGTTTTATCCGTTTTTAATAAGGTCGGCTTGTTCAATTTTCGCCAAGTACGCCAGATAATGGTTGAAATATCAGAACCCGAGTCAAGCTGAAATTTAATGGACTTATTGAAAATATCCACTGTTACATATTTTCTTAAATTCCTATCGACAATATCGTCAGATTGAGCTTGCTTACTTATATTTTTGGGTTTTCTCGTTCTGTTGGCGTACAAGCACGAAGTTAAAGTATAACCACTTTTATTGCAATTTTTGCAAAATCTTTTGTTCTTAACTGGACAGAATTTCATCCAATGCCATTTACATCAATGGTAACATGGTCCGGGCGGTTTCTTTATCTTATTTGGGATTTGGTTAATGCGTAATTTAGGACATGAGATTTGCCTTTTGTCTTTTTGAGGGGAATAGGAGGTAGACTTACTTCTGATTTTATTAATCTGAGTCACACCTGATTCCTCGATAGTGTTTGAGTCACGCTTTACAGATATTACTCTTTGACAGTCCTCTGCCAGTTTTTGGAGAGTCAATTATTGTTCGTTCTCAACCTTGGTCAGTACCCGTTGTCTGACTTCGGCGTCTTCTGCAGATACTATTGAAATCATCGGCAGTCAGTTCGGCTAGTTTAAAATCATTACAGAGCTTGTTTGCCGATGCTGCAAACGTTAAAATCTTGCTGGTTGTGTTTGATTATGTTCAGGCATTTCCAACGTTTGTGGAACATGGTTGTATTAGACCCGAATAGTTCCGATAGGAGCTTAATAGTCTCTGAAAAATCCAAGTCAGTCGTTTTTTTGGGTAATATGAAATCTACGAACCTACTATGTTCTGTAGTTCCCAGTTTTCTTAATAGAAGACGTAGCCTTTTTTACTGGACCATTGTTCACAGTCTACGTTGAAAATATCTTCGTAGCGCTTGTAAAAAGCGTCGAACGTTTTGTCGTTTTCTGCTACGTACTCAAAGGTTTCCATTGAATTGTAGATTATACTCTGGGAGAATATTGTGTCTTTTTCAGAGTTTGAGCCTTTTAATGCATTTATGAATAATTCTTTAAGTTGTTTCTGTTGTAGTTCAGCATTCTGTAGCGTAATTTTTTGAAATTCTATTTGTTGTTTATGTAATTCCAAAAAAAGGTTGTTGTTGTCTTTCTTCTGCTTTTTGTTGCTGATCCAAATTTAGTTCTAACATTTGGGCAACTACTTTTTGCAAATCTTCCATATTTAAAAATGACAGCGCTTTTTTGCTGCTTTGAAACACGTGTACTAAGAGGAGGTACACAAACAAATCTTGGATAGATTATTGTTCTTTTTTTCTTTTACAGAGAAGAAAATGGACAGACAATTAGTTAAACTAAAACAATTATATGTGTTTAGCATTTTTACCCGTGGTTCCGTTAATTTTGACGTAATTGAATAAATTTTTCATCACACTTATGTATTTTTTTTTAGAAAGGTACAAAAAGAGAAAACTCAACTCAGTGAATTTGAGGGGAGAATAATTTTAAGTAAAAGTTCAACACAGTTACATAAAAAAAAATTTCGATAGTTTTTTTTCGAAAACCTGAGTACAGTTTTAGTACTTGCTTTTGTATTATCGGTTTGTTTTATGACAAACTGTTTTTTTTTCTGTGTGTGTATGTGAGTAGAAATCGTTCTCGTATTTTGGACAGACTTTAATAGTCCGTAGATGTGGAATCGCTAGTTCGTCATTGCTGTTTGGTATTAGAATATATGTAGACGCTGGGTGTTTAGCTTTTAAATCTCTAATGTATTAATACCAGCTTAATTTCACGTTCAACACTGCTTTGGGAACGCGTGGAATTTGTGTATTTTTAGAGTAGTGTCACTATAGATATGGTGAGAACGAAATTCTCGAAACTTTTCTGTCGACACTGTTGTGGGACTGGCAAGGTATTGCGGTTTTTCGACGTGAATGCGTCTCTAGAATTCTTCGTCGACCCAGATGTGGGATTGGTAAGGTATTTAGGTTTCGCCGTGAGTGCGTTTCTCGAATACTCGTTGCCACTGATGTGGTTAGGCGTACGAAAAGTTTTTCTTTCCCCATGTGAGTTTCGAATCCTCGTACGCCACTGATGTGGGACCAAAGTTGAAACCACAGAAGTAAAACACGGAACACGGATTAGATGTAAGAAAGATATATTAACAACAGGTTACAGAGTTAGTGTAAGCAGAGCTTACTATATCACTCTCTATGTCGCTCAGTGTGACTCTCTGTGTGACTCTCTCTAGATCGCTATGTCGCCTACTTAATATAGACCCGGAAGAGTCTATTGTGTAGGTAGTTTCCGGTCTCACAAGTAATCTTCCAATAATAACAGCACTTCATGCATATATTTACATACTTATATTTATTAAACACACAGACACACACACACACACACACACACACACACACATATATATATATATATATATATATATATATATATATATATGTATGTATGTATGTATGTATGTAAGCGCAGTACTTAGTGCAAGGTGTTCAATATCTGTGATAGAACTAATATATTTAATTGTGTGTATATTAGTTTGTAACACTGCTTTTCACGGTTTTGCTATTATCTGATAAACTGGTTTTATTTTTTTTAAAAGGGATCTAATTATCTTTGTTTGTGTTTGATTATTTTTGAGTGTGGAGGAGTGAAAATTTTTATGTGCCTTTTTGTCTGATGATCGAAAAATCGAGAAACCCAGAGTTACAAAGAATATCCATACAGCTGAATATATATATATATATATATATATATATATATATATATATATATATGTGTGTGTGTGTGTGTGTGTGTGTGTGTGTGTGTGTGTGTGTGTGTGTAGAGGGATATAAACCAAATTATACCAACCTATTTAAGTACCTGATTTTCTCTTCTTACATTAAGCAAATCAGAAAATTTTACCTACTTCCATGGCGATGTTAACGTACATTGAAAGATTAAATCTCGTGAGTAGCGTGGATGAAAATCGGAGAATGATTAACAATGTTAACAATGGCGGAACTAAAATGAATAATGCTACAATAAATATGACATAGTTGTGTTTCGAGAGGAAAGCAGAAATTCTTTCTTAATCTTGGAATTTATTTAGATTTTATGCAACGTTGTGTTGCTATATTACTTCATTTAATCTAGTTAAAGTTTCAAGTAAACTGTTTAAATTTGCGAAATATTATTTGCTGATGAACAAAAATATCTAAACCAATACGCTATGGTTACAACAGCACCTGATAGTGAATTAATTTGTTAAACTGTAAATGCATCTATCTATCTATCTATCTATCTATCTATCTATCTATCTGTTTCCAAAAGAGCTGTGCCTACATTCTCAAGAATTATTGCTTTCGCACAAAGAATTATATACTGAGGGAAATTTAAGTATTTAATCCAGTCTTCTGTCGAAAAGCTTCTGAAAATTGCTCGTTCTGCTTATGTACGTCATTTCATAACAATAATCAAAGGAGAGAGAAAAAAAGAAAAATTGAGAAGAAGTACAAGAGATGTAAATATATGAGAAAGTGAGAATGCAAAGAAAACGGAAGTAAGGAAAATGAAGAAAAAAAGAGAAGATTGAGAAAACAGAAAAGAAGAAAAAGAAAAAAAACAAAAAACAAGAGAAAGAACGAAAGCAGAAGATCGGAAGAACAGAGGGTAAGGCTAACAAAAGTATAGAAGAAGAAAAGAAGAAACAGAAAGAGAATAATAATAATAATAATAATAATAATAATAATAATAATAAGAAGTAGAAGAAGAAGAAGAAGAAGAAGAAGCCAAGACTGCCGAAGATGAAGAAGAGAAAAAAAATCGGAACAGAAACAAAAGAATTTTTTTTTTGATTTGGCATATTCACAAACAACATTATCGAACAACTTCGATATGATCATAGAATCAAACATTATATAGTGAATAACAACTCATCTTTCTCTTTCACACACACAAACACTCTTCTCTATCTTTCTCCCTCTCCCTCTCTCACACACACACACACACACACACACACACACACACACACACACACACATATATATATATATATATATATATATATATATATATATACCAGTTGCATGGATATGAGATTGTAACCCTGGGTTTCACGCTTTTTCGGACATCAGACAAACTGGTTTATTATTTAAAAATTCAGTCTATTTCTGCTTCTTTGTGTTTGATTATGTTGGGTGTAGGAGGAGGAATTCTCCTCTGGGTCCGTTTGGGATGACACTCTCACACACATAGCTATACGATCATACAGGTGTACGCATTTTAGTTGACACAAACGCATCCACAGAGACAATTGTAGATTAATTGCAGATACACGTTCATGCGTTCGGGGATACATACACATGCAATTGAAAATCTATTTCGGTGTCAAAACTGTATCGTTTGCTATAAGTAGCGATGCTCTTTCAACAAGGCGCAGGTGGGGGTGTACTTAACGCTTTTCAGATCGGCCACCTGCGTCGTCAGAATAACTTACACTTCCTCTCTCACAAACTCATACACATATATTTGTTTACTTTTATTGTTTACTTTAGCAACATAGACATTGTGCCCGACGATCTGAAATACAGCGAAACTTAAGTCACACAGCAACACGTAGGTACTAGTACATGTACTAATTAATATCTATCTTTGTTCTGTCTAACCACATCGAGTATGTTTATACCTAATGTATAAATTTGCTGACTATTTATCTGCTTCCCCGCGCATGTACAACAGCACTTGACTCGAACATCAATCGAAACACGTGGTTATAAACAACACCTTGTCAAGGAACAGATAAATAAAGCAATTTCCAAACCTAGAGAAGACACCCTAATGTACAAATATAATAATAAATCCTGATGCACCCCTCTAGTAAACATTGTCAACCCCACTTTTCCTCCACTAATTATATGGAGCATTATAAATACAGGCTCTCGAGAAAGCAGTTAAGCAACATGCTCCATAAGATTTCTATGGGGTTGAGGTCAGGAGATTGGGGCGCCCATGTCATAATACTCACCTGCTTCTCATCAAAGTATTCCTTCATCAATTTTGATTTGTGACAGGGAGCATTATCCTGCATAAAAATGAGCTTCGTGGGGTCGATTTGCTGAAAGGGTGCAAGAAGTGGGGGGAAGAAAAAAGGATGTTCGTATGTTAGTTTAAGGGACGGTAGAGTGATATTTTATGGGCAATTCTATAACGACAAATAATATCCAATAAATTTCACGAAAATGAAATCTATGTCGTTATTCATTTAAAAACTCTGTAATTTTAGTCGATAAATTTAAAGTTTAAAAAAAGTACTTAAAGATCGATTGAACAAAATGGGATGTCTTCCCAAAAATTTCGTTACACCTTTACGCTCTTGCAGTTATCAGGTTTTACATTTAAAAACATTCTCTTGAAAAGCGATAGACATTTTTAACTTATGAGAGCGCACACAATCATGGCTGATGTTAGTCAAGCCTGTCGCGTGAGAAAACGCTCGACAAAACGGCATTTTACACATGGCGTTATCAAACGGAAACGACGATGACGTGCACGAAGGAAGAACCTACCGTCGTAACGGAACTCTACATAGATCTATAAATTTCCAGTAATTTTGCAATTCTTTTGGATAAGTGAATGTCTCAGAGAATTGTGACTAGATGCAAGCATTCCAGAGTCCTGATTCCATTTGGCGATTTACCACCGTCTGTATTAACCTTTCAGCAGCCACATCTCTGATTTGAATTGTATTTGGCAAACATTTTTTGAGCAGAAAGCAGAGATATGTCTGATATGTCTCCCGGAGTGGCAGACGAATCGGTAATGCATGTCTTGTGTAAGTCGACTCCATTTTTTAATAACAGGCAATAATATTGCAGGCGTTGAGGGTATGATAAACGGCGCAAATGTTGTGATATGCTTGTCGAGCATATCTTCCCAAGTCAATTGCTCATGAAATTATCTGCAACAAATCAGGGTATCACAAAATGTCATCTAGTTTTGTTCCATTGCCTGAAAGCCTCCGATATTATAAGCAGCAACATATTCACCTGTCAGAGAATTCAGTAAAGACAACTGATCACTGAGATGCAAAAGGTATAAGATCCTGGATATACATCATCCATTATCAAATAATTCATGCAGTTAGATTGTGGAAGCAATCACCTGACTGAAGGAAGCTGCTCGAAAAAAAGAGATTAGGATGTTTACTGAAGTGTACTACGCTATCGCATTCTATAGACAGGCAAGCTCATAAAAGTGGTTCCAGTGATATTGTTCGAGAATTTTGACGAATCAGAGAGCATTTGCTTCCATCAGATAATTATATAAAAATAAAACATTTATTCTGAAAGTAGCTTTACACGGATGAGGCAGTTTTTTGAGCAGATGCAACGTTGGTTCAGTCTATTGAGGACGTGTTTACCGGGAAGGGTATTTCATGTCCATTCACTGATGGAAAAATTGCATTAATTTGAATAGATTCTTAACGGAAAATTATGATATTATTAGTAGTAGTATATGTAAAAAATTACATTTGTCTTGTAAAAATGCATAAGGTCGTGTGAATAGACTAACGGATATCGAATTTGGATTCGATAAGCCAACGTCAAATTCTTGTTTAGTAATTTGTGTGCTTTTTCACACAACCGTCATTTCGGAAAGTTACGATCTAATATCTTCTCCATCCAGATATATGTTAAATAAAGGTTAGACTAAGTTTTCTAGCCTCAAGCTGCAACCAGATTTGAAAAAAGATGGCTCTCAGGAGAAAACAATGGGAAACCACTCCAATATATTTTCGAAGAAGTCATAGCAATTCACATATTATGCAGAGAAAGAATATATGGAAACCATGATTGCCGACATCAATTAAGATTAAGTATAAGTTCATATTTTGCGGTTTTCTCCCTGTGTCTCTCCTCGATATGACGTCATACAATTTCAAGAATTATTTCATTGTTAAACTAATATAAAAAAATTGTATACCTGTATGAGTGCGAATTATATGACAGTCTATTGAATAAAGTTAAACGGTTTTTACTTGTAAATATACTCGATTCAAGATTTCATTTTTCTTAAGCCAATCTTTCACTTGATATCTAATTATTTCATTAATCAAGTACTGTTCATTTTATGGGAATTTGAAAATAAATTTTATCTTGATTTTAGAAACGTTCGTAGATTTTTTCTGTAAACCTTTTTTAAATAATATATTTTTTTCATGGGATGTTTCTGTTTCAAAGTCTTAATTGTATATATGTATTTTTTTAAAAATGTTTCTCATTTTAAGAACATCTGTGCCCCTTGTACTTGATATATAAAGGCAATTTTCATAATTTCGCCAAAAATGTATTTTCCATGTATGATAGAGGTTCGATTCCTCTTGGAGATCAAATATATTTTTTGAGATTTTCTCGGACATTCAGTATATTAAGTATTTGTAACTATAAAAATATCGTATAGACAGAAAATATATTACAATAATTGTCAGACTTAGCCGACACCATTACATATATATATATATATATATATATATATATATATACGCAAAAATATGTATGTGTGTGTATAAATATATATTTATATGTATGTGTGTGTGTTTATATATATCTACATATGTTTATGCATGTCTACATATGTTTATATATATATATATATATATATATATATATATATATATATATATATATATATATATATATATATCGTAAATGGGGTGCCATACATTATACTAACGTTGTTGAATCCGTAAAATGCACGTGAAGCCTTCTTAACCAATGAAAATAAAAAATACAAAAATAAAAATTACTGAATTTCCTGCTTCTATTTCTCCATATCTCATTCTCTTGACGAAATTTTTAATTAAAGTGAAACATGATAGATTGATAAATATATCCTATTTGTTCTTTGTCTTATCATATATATTTCCTGTTTCTACGTTGTGTAATGTCATATATTTTTATACACACGCACGCGCACGCACACACACGCACACTTATATATATATATATATATATATATATATGAATAAACATACACATCGCAGTTTATGTTTTGTAATGGATAGATGCGGATCGGCGAATTTTTTGACCTTTCATGAATTAGTACTGAATCAAACGTTTTAAATACTATTTAAAATATGATTAATTTTTTCTGATATAAAAAATAAAATAATTTTAATATTTAAATTCATTTCAGCTAATGTGGAAGTGTTACTAATGAGATGTTAAATTGATTGTGTAAGACATGCTAAACGCATGACTCTATGTAAATAAACAAAACCTAATAATTTAAAAAAAAAACAAACTAACATCTTAATCATCGGAGATTCTTCGATCAATCCATCACGATCGATGAATCAATGTCAAAAGCAGGTACTGATGTCACGATTCACACATGAT